ATAAAATATGCTCGACGAATGTCCTTGATTACGATCGAGGATATTACAAATTCTAATATCTACGACCTAATAAATGAAGTCGGAGGATTTATACTCGACGATTCAAATATTAAAATCTTGAGAAGTATCACAATCGGCAACGATGTTATTTACAGATATTAATATCGATGATACGCACCATAACATTTATGCCGTATATTAATATCGACGATTATGCTTTTATGAACATTAATAACGACGATACAAACAATAACATTTATGCCGTATATTAATATCGACGATATAAATAATCTAACATTTATGCCGTATATTAATATCGACGATTATGCTTTTACAAACATTGATATATTTATATCGATGGCATGTAAAAATCTTGGTAACGACGATGTTATGTCTTGAGGAATCTCAATGTAATCCTCGTGTTCTTTCAAAGTTTTACTTTATCGAGGAGTATTTACTTTGTTGGCACGCCTAAAGGCAAGGCTGACATTGGCTTGTCGAGGACAAGGCTTAGGACTGCTTGCTCGAGGGCAAGGCTTAGGCCTGCTTGCTCGAGGACAAGGCTTACAGGCGGCTTGCTCGAGGGCAAGGCTTACGTTGCTTGTCGAGGACAAGGCTTAGGGCGGCTTGCTCGAGGGCAAGGCTGACATTGGCTTGTCAAGGACAAGGCTTAGGACTGCTTGCTCAAGGGCAATGCTTACATTGCTTGTTGAGGATAAGGCTTAGGACTGCTTGCTCAAGGGTAAGGCTTACATTGCTCATCGAGGACAAGGCTTAGGGCGACTTGCTCAAGGGCAAGGCTTACATTGGCTTGTCGAGGATAAAGCTTAGGCTATTCCTGGACGCAAAGCAAACTATAGGGCTGTTATACGCGAGGTTTGAATTTATTAATTTCTCGGACTGGACTCAGATTTATATTGTATCCAAGCTGCCTACGTACTCAAACGGGATCAAGCCGAATGCAGTTCATTACAAAAGAAAATGGAAAACATACATGGGCATGCAGGCCCGTCAAACTAGAAATAAAATGCAAGGGCACGCAGGCCCGAAGAACTAAAAATAACATTCAGAAGAACTAAAAATGCAGGAATAAAAAGAAAATCTTCTAGATGGCATAGAGAACGTTACTTGTAATATATTTTCAGATTATCGGCATTCCAGGGCCTTGGAAGAGGTCTACTCGAGGTATCCCTTAGGCTGTAAGACCCTCCTCTGATTTGCCATATGACTTCGAATGGTCCTTCCCAAATAGGCCCGAGCTTGTTGGGAGCATGACCAGCAGCTTCGGCCTTCCTCAGCACGAGGTCTCCAAGCCTGAACTTTTGAGACTTGACTCAGCTATTAAAATGCCTTGCCACTCTGCTCTGGTAGCAGGCTACTCTTAGTACTGCTTGTTCGCGAACCTTCTCAAGGAGGTCTAAATGTTTCATCGTACGTTCGAGAGACTCGAGCACCATTCTCCTTAGGCTGGGAAAACTGATTTCAACTGGGATGGTGGCCTCCATGCTAAATGCTAGCATGAAGGGGGTTTCACCCATCGTAATTTTATGCGAAGTTTTGTACGTCTAGAGTATTGAGGGCAGCTCGTCGGACCAAGAACCTTTGGCATTCCCGAGTCTTGTCCGGAGGTCTTGTAATATAATTCGATTCGTGACCTCGGCTAGGCCATTGCTCTGAGAGTGTGAAACTGATGTTAGTCGATGGTCAATGCCTAGGTTGGTGCAAAAACTTCTGAATTGTGCACTATCAAATTGTCGTCCATTATCAGTAATGAGGACCTTAGGTATCCCGAACCTACAAACAATGGATTTCCACACAAAAGCTCTAAGTTTGGGCTCCAAAATTGTTGCCAAGGGTTCTGCTTCTGCCTACTCAGTGAAGTATTCCACTGCCACTGCCACGAATTTTATTTGTCCTCTTGCCACCGGAAAAGGCCCGAGGATATCAATTCTCCACTGTTCAAAAGGGGCCAAACATGTTAGGGAAGTGAGGTCCTCAGCTGGAGAATGGATGACGTTGGAAAACCTCTGGCATTTGTCGCATTTTCTGACATATTCCAAGGCATCTTTCTTCATGGTGGGCCAATAGTACCCATACCTTATGAGCTTGAAGGCCAAGGCCCAAGCTCTTTGATGGTTTCTACATACACCTTCATGAACTTCAGCTAGAGCTCGGGATGATTCTGAGGGTTCAAGGCATCTGAGATATGGAAGTGTGAAACTTCTTCGAAATAGTACTCCTCCAATCATGCAGTACCTATATGCTTGAGATCTTATACTCCTCGACAATCTGGGGTCATTAGGAAGACTTCCATTACTTATGAACTCTGCAATTGGGTCCATCTATGACGGCTTATGATCAATGTCCATGACTCCAACTCTTTGAGTGATACTAGGCTCTGTTACCAATTTCACGTGGACTGTCCTCTCTAGCCCATCGATTCCAATGAATACCAATCTCGATAATGCATCAGCTTTACCATTATCAGCCCCAGGAATCTTTATGATTTCGTAACTCTTGAATTGTCGCTGGAGATCATGGACTTTTAGACAATACAATCTCATCTTCTCTTCTTTCCTTTCGAACGTCCCTTCTATTTGACCGACCACAAGCTGAGAATCGTTAAAAATTTTAATATGTTCGAGCTCAAGATTTCGGGCGAGCTCAAGGGCGATGATGATGGCCTCATATTCGACCTCGTTGTTGGTAGCTTCAAACTCAAATCTGAGTGCACATTGAATATCCACGAGTTTGTCAGGGCTCGTGATGATAAGCCCGGCTCCGGAACCTGTCGAATTGGATGCTCCATCAACAAAGATGTTCCAAGTGTCTGAAGTATAATTGTTCGAGTTATCCCTGGCCCCCGAGACCTTGGGTTGAGTTCTGCAATGAAGTCAGCCAAGGTCTACACCTTGATAGATGGTCAGGATTTATACTCGATGTCAAATTTTCCCAGTTCGATTGCCCACTTTAGTAACCTATCGGAGACGTCGAGTTTTTGTAATATATGCTTAAGGGGTTGATTAGTGAGCACAACTATGGAGTGAGACTGAAAATATTGTTTAAGCTTTCGTGCTGCCACAACTAATGCAAGAGCAAGTTGTTCTGCCAAAGTATATCTGGTCTCTGCTTTGAGCAAGACCTTACTGACGTAGTATATAAGTTGCTAGGCTTTGTTAACTTCTTTCACTAGCACACCGCTAACTGCATTCTGGGATACGGCCAAGTATAAATACAAAGTATCACCATGCTCGGGTTTAGTGAGGATAGGAGGAGATGTCAGCGTTTCCTTAAGTTCGTGAAAAGCCCTTTCACATTCCTCATCCCATTCAAAATTTCGATTTTCCCTGAGGACTTTGAAAAATGGGAAGCATTTGTCGGCTGCTCGAGACATAAACCTGTTGAGGGCAGCAATACGGCCTGTTAATTTTTGGACCTCTTTCTTGGTTTTAGGTGGCTCCATTGGTGCCAACGCCCCTATTTTATCTGGGTTGGCTTCGATTCCCCTGTAAGTGATTATAAAACCCAAGAACTTTCCCGAGGCAACGCCAAATGCACATTTTTCGGATTTAGCTTCATTCTGTACTTACGCAGCGTGGTGAATACCTCCTCGAGGTCTGATACATGGTTGCCCACTTGCTTGCTCTTTACAACCATGTCATCGACGTAGGCCTCAATCTTTCTCCCAATCATACCTGTAAAAACTTTATTGACAAGTCTTTGATATGTTGCTCCTGCATTCTTCAAACTGAATGGCATGACCTTATAGCAATATATGGCAGAATTGGTCATGAATGATGTCTTCTCTTGGTCTTCCTCGGCCAGAAGAATTTGATGGTACCCCGAGAAGGCATCCAAAACACTGTATAATTTGTGCCTGACATACTATCCACCAAATCGTCGATTCGAGGTAGAGGGTAGCTGTCTTTTGGACATGCTTTATTGAGGTCTATGAAATCAATGCAGACTCTCCATTTACCACTAGCCTTTTTTACCAGGACGACATTGGCAAGCCAGTCAGGATAATTGACCTTGCGGATGAACTGAGCCCTGATCAGTTTGTTAATTTCTTCCTTTATGACCTGTCGTCGTTCTGATGCAAACTGCCTCTTTCTTTGCTTGACTGGATGAGTCCCGGGCTTAGTGTTGAGCCTGTGTACTACAACCTCGGGGTCGACGCCAGGCATATCCTCCACCTTCCATGCAAAGACATCAATGTTGCGGGATAAGCAGTTAATAAGTTCGGTCATGAGGGCCGTATTCAGATCTCGACCAACCGTTACTTTCTTCCCATGCTCGAGCTCTATCTCCATTAACCCTTCCACTAGGGCGAGTCTCCCCCATGCTCAAGCTCTATCTCCTTTTTTGAGATTTGCATGACGTCCGTCTTTATTTTCCGAACACAAGTAACATAGCATTGTCTGCCAGCAGCTTAGTTTTCGCGTACTACCCCGACGCCATGACTGGTGGAGAACTTCATGGTGAGATGGAAGGCAGACACGACGGCTTTTACCTTATTGAGCAATGGTCTTCCCAGGATGGCGTTGTATGCCATGGATGACCGGACGATCTGAAAAGATGTAATCACCGTTACCTGTTCCTTACCCGAGCCTAAGGTAAGAGGTAGCTCGACCACTCCCTCCGGGACAATAATACCCCCCCTCGAATCCTTGAAGGAGGGTTTTCTCTGTCTTCAACTGTTCGGGAGAAATTCCCATTTTTGTGAAGGCTTCGTGTGACAATATGTTAGCGGCACTCCCGTTGTCGACTAAGATCCTCTTTCCTTCAAAGTTTGCTACTATTGTAGAGATGACTAGGGCATCATCATGAGGAAAAGATACGCCCTCTAGATCCTTCATACCAAATGTTATGTCCTCGAGGTCACCATGATTTGTTTTCGAGGATGTCATGTATTGTCAGGCATACTACTTCCGCCCAGTGTTCGAATCTCCTCCTGACGCAATACCCCCGACGATGATGTTGATGATTCCAATAGTGGGTTAACCATCCCTTTTTGCTTCAGAAGCTCTTTCCCTACCACAATCATTCTTTGGGAGTTTGTCGTTACCGACGTAGGAACTCAGAAGTCCTCTTTTAATAAGGGCTTCAATCTCCCGTTGCAGGGCTTTACAATTTTTCGTGGTATGCCCATGATCCCGATGGAACTCACAGTACTTGCTCATGTCCCTGGACTGGGGTGGTGACCTCATTCTCGCAAGCCATTTGAGCTCCTTCATATCCTTGATCTCCATCAAGATATTTGTTTTCGATGTATTTAAACGCGTGAATGATGTCGGGGGAACCTCCTGCCTCTGTTTACTCCGAGGTGGTTCTTGACGGGGGTTAGGGTCATGCGCTCGTTTATACTCGACCCTATCATGGGATGGTCCAACCTTCCCCAAGTTCAGTGTTTTCTCCATATTTATGTACTTCTCGCCTCGGGTAAGAAGCTCGGTCACTGTCTTCGACGGAGTTTTGGATAGCGACATTTTGAAAGCGTCACACTTTATGGCATATGTGAGGGCAGAAACTGCTGCCGTTATATGAAGGTCGGGAACCTGGAGCCTTTCCTTGTTGAACCTGATCATGAAGTTACGTAGGGTCTGCCCCTGTCGAAGTTGCATGAGGGAGGCTGCTGTTTTCCTGATGCATTTACTGCTTGCGAAGAAGGCGAAGAACTTGTCTGCTAAATTCGAGAATGAGGCTATTGAGTTGGGCTCTAAGGTCGAGAACCAATCCCTAGCTACATTCGTCAAAGTTTGCGGGAAGGCCTTGCACATCACCTAATCTGGTGCAACCTATTGATTCATGACATCGGTGTATACTTTAAGATGGTTGATTGGATCGGTAGTCCCATCATACTCTTTTATCCTAGGATACTTGAATCTGTCTGGCAGGGGGAATGACAATATGTCAGGGGTAAAAGGAGTGTTAGGACTGAATTTTGTTGACCCTTTGTTGTTCTGAAGTAGGCCCACCGTAATTCCTTCCTGAATAATCCAGGTGAGTTCTCCAAACTCTATGGTCACTAATCTCGAGCCCGAGGTGCCATGTTGTGTACCCGAGCCCCCGGCTCCGCCATTGTCAGGGACATTCCGAGGAGCTCAAGCTCGAGCATCAGCCACAAAACCCCCCTGGGCAGCCGGTGGGGGTGATGGATGTGAATTCCTTTGACTTAGCAGCTGGATCAGCGTGACGACCTGTTGTCTAAGCTCCTCGAAGGCTCCGACGGTGACGACTGCTGGCTGGGGCTCTGGCACTTCCAATGATTCCTCTTGAGGAGCAGGAGGATCCTCAGGAGGGGGTTGGTTTGGAGCGGATGAGCTTGCTGGTGGAAGACCTGAGCGCGTGTTAACCATGGCTTTTGGTAGCGTTTTCCCATAGACGACGCCAATGATGCTACCAAAAATCGTACCTGAGCAATTTCCAGCTGCACGATTAATGACGAGCACGAACGTGAACTTTTGTTACCTAAAACAAAGGCGATGAGGTGTGTTCTCGTCGTCCCTCCGATACTTAAGTTAGAATATGTACGTGAGGCTATGGATTGAAAATTGCATAAAAGTAAGTACCTGAATAATGAGGTGAAACCATGTATTTATAGTGTTAGGTGGTTGAGTCCTATTAGGATTGAACAATTGGGGAATCTTTATCTCATAAAGTCCAATCGGAGGTGGATGTTTGACATGCACAACAAGTGTGAGATCAGTACAAGTCTAACAACAGTAAACTCCTCCTGCATCTAGAAGTCTTGTGGGGTATCAAGTGTGACACGTCACTATTCGTAGGAGGATGTGATATCGTTAAAGTAAAAAGCATGAGGACATTGAAATACCGAGGACTCCACTGCCCGACCTCATGGTACAATTAGGAGAGAGGTCCATATCCTCGGGATGTTTTCCATAAGCATGAGGACCGTCATACCCGACGAATATATTTTGAAAACCAAGTTGGGAGTCATCGGGAAATCTGAGGTCAAGATAAATAGATGGACCATATCAAAGATATTATTCTATTTGCTTGATTTTTGATTTGAACCTAGTTTCCTCATTTTATTTTTTTCGGCCATGTTCCGTTCCTGATTTATCATCCTCATTCAGTAGCTATGCTGAACTTTTGTACATTTTTTCAATACTATCAATGACAATATATTTTCACTCTGCAATAATCATGTTAAACTTTTATATATATTGTTCCAATAGAACAATCATCTATTATATATCCTTTCATTGGCCGATCCAAGAATATTATTCAGTATTGGCGATATTCAACTTAGGTTGAATTTTGAGTACAACACCTGAGATGAACTTTGAATTTGTCCTTTAAATTATAGTTTGCAATATGCATTTAAATATTTTCTAACTAATCTATAATCTCAAAATGGATGAATTCTTCTAAAGCAAACTTAATGGGCCTTAATACCCCAAGCCCAAAGCTCAGAAGGTGGGTCCGCCCCTGTAATAATCCTTCATTGTGCATATTGTTTTCGTGCAAAAACTATGTTAGCTCTCAGTGTATCGTTCGAATATTATTTGTCATTAGACTTCTATGTATTGTCACCAGTATTATTGAATGTTCTCAAAAGGGGTAGTTAATTCTAATATATCCCTTGTTTGAGCCCCATTCTTTTGGACAAATACATTTTTCAATAGTGTTTTGACATCATTTCAATTATACTTTTTTCAATAAAATAATATTATACGCAAATTTAAAATTTATTCTTATTTTTTAACCACATATTTTCCATCAATACACTATTCAAAAATTCATTCTTCTCAAAAAATGGGGCTCAAACAAGGGCATAGTTAGGTTCCATCAACTTGAATTTGTTCTTTTACTTAAAACGATAAGGCAACAGTGCAAATTATTCATTTAAAAAAAAATTATGTAAACAGATTTTTATTTTGTAAAAATATGTCAAAACAACATTGTCATAGAAATATTTCACTAATCTATAAAAGAAAATTGAACTAATTCTTGAGTACCGAGATTAATTTCACAGGGTCTGTCAGGTCCCTCATTGTAGCATATGGGCTCCACATGTAATAAAAAGACTCCGATAGGCCCCATTGTGTGTGTATCCTAACGAATCAGGTTCCTATACTTCAAGCAGGATTAAAATTGTACACTTCTTTGAATAAAACTTTCCCAAGTAAATGAAAAAGGAAATATCATTTTTTTTCTTTATCAATGGCTGAATAGTCTTTTCAAATATTCTAGTGAAATGGTGACTAATCTATTTTTAAAATAATCTTTTAGGGAGAGAAGACTGGTTATCGGTAGATGGTCAACCCACGGCGTCGTCTCATTTTGATTTGTCGTTTCTTTGATGGGGTTGTCTTCCTTCAGACAATTTAATGCGGATTTTATGATATTTTTCTTTTCTGATATTTATAACATTTAGCAATGTTATTAATTAAATATATTCAAAAAGTTGCCACGTGATTGATTATTCCATTTAATGGCATTAAAGCTAATGTATTAAATCTATCACAAAAGAATACGATTAATGCTATCTGAAAATAACAAAATTTGGTATATTTGAATTTAATGAGAGTTTTTCTTCAAAATTTACCATAATTATATTTTGATTTTCAATCCGCATGAAGAGGGAGATGCAGTTTAATTAATTGCCTCACATATCACAAAAAATAATGCTATTCACAATTGTTCGCTGCGACAATCGCCATGTGTGGTATACACATGACAGGTAGTTATTTGATAATGCATCAAATAACAATCTGTCATGCGTATAAAAGGTAGGGCTATTGTCACAGTGAGTGACTGTGAATAACATTACTTCATCATAAAATGACGGTGGATCTTATCAGTCTAGACAGTTCATTATCACAAGTTCCAACAATTTCAACAAAATCACCCTAGGTATAAGGGCCTCACCTAAGTGATTTTCAACTTTATCACAAGCTTCAATTTCTTCAATAGACTCGCCCTTAGTACAAGGGCCTTAGCTAAGCATATTGCAGCCTTATCATTGGCTTCAAAAACTTAAGTACACTCACTTTCGTCATCAAGGCCTCACCTAAGTGAATTTCAGCCTTATCATAAGCTTCAACAGACTCGCACTTTGTGTAAAGGCCTCGCCTAAATGAATTTTAACCTTATCACGGGTTTCAATTACTTCAGTAGGCTAGTTCTTAATTTGAGAACCTTGCCTAAGTGTGTTTTAGTTTTATCACAAGCTTCAACTACTTTAACAGACTCGTCCTCTATCCTCAGCATAAGGGCATCATCTAAGTTGTATTTCAACCCCATTACATGCTTTAACAACTTCAATGGGCTTGCTCTTAAAGTAAGGGCTTCGCTTAAGTGAATTTCAATCTTATCAGAGGCTTTAACAATATCAACAGGTTCATCCTCAGCACAAGGGTTAGGGATGTCAACGATTCGAGTCGAGTTGGCACGCGAGTCGAAAATAGAGGCTCGGGTTCGGCTCAAACTTTTTTAGGTCGGGCCTTTTTTGGCCGAGCTAAGTCGAGCAAAAGCTCAACCAAAAAATTAAGGCTTGACCCGAGCTTTTGGCTTCAACCTTACCGAGCTGAGTCAAGCTGGCTTGATTTTTTTAAAAAATTTTTTCCATGATGAAGGAAGTTGGCACATTGCTTTTAAGGCAGCCTTTTTTTTCGTGGTGGCCAGCAAGCCATGTGGGCTAGCTCGGGTTCGACCCGACATCCCCAAGATGGGGCTTAGCTCGAGTTTTTTATGGGTCGGGCTACGAGTGGCCTGAGCATGCGAGCCAATTTGCCATCCCTAACAAGGGTCTCATCTAAGTGGCTTCAACAACTTCAGCAGGCTCGTCCTCAGCGAAAGGGCCTTACCTACAAGCTTCAACTACTTAAATAGGCTCGCCCTCAACGTAAGTGGTTTACCTATGTGAACTTCAGCCTTACCATAGCCTTCAACTACTTCAAGAGGCTCACCCTCAATGTTAGGGCTTCACCTAAGTGAATTTCGACCTTGTTAAAGGTTTCAGCTACTTCAACAGGCTTCCTTTCAACTTAAAGGCTGCGCGTAAGAAATTTCAACCTTATCACAGGCTACAACTACTTCAATAGGCTTGCCCTGAATATAAGGTTTCACTTAAGTTAATTTCAGCATTATCATAGGCTTCAATTATATCAACATGCTTACTATCAATGTAAGGGCTTCACCTACAATCAGGTTTGCACACTAACATGAAAATTCTACTCATACTAAACATCAAAAGTCTACACTTTCTATAAATAACCGTGCTTTGATTCGAGGGACTATTGTGCTACGTTATCCCTTTGCAATCGAGAGGTTAGAAAAGTAAAGGTTCAACCAACATAAAATAACCCATGCTAGAACACTGACTCTTTGAAACAGATTAAGCGGTATGAACAAAATTGCACAGTTTAATTCAAAAGTCCATGCATTATGTGAATATTCATATATGGACTTAGGGGACTATTGTTACGTCTTGTCCAGCATGGCTCCAAGTATAACTGTGGACCCGCACTCCATATGATTCTACCCATTTAGAAATTTGGTTGAACCCCTATGAGAGGCCTAACTCATATGCTGTAGCCAAACCCATTTGAAGGACTGGGCCCTTATGGATGAGATAAGATAAGAATAGGTGCTACAGAGGATATTTCGTACAATATCTTCCATTTATTGTTGAAGCTCTACCAAGTTAACATGCCAAGTCTAGTCCCTACATGTCAGACCTAGACCCGCCAACAGTCATAACAATAAATGCATCTGAACCTAGGACTAAAATACTGATATCTATAGTAAG